GTCCATTTGTAGACAGTAAACTAAATCCCAATACCACTTCAGCCCATATATATATATATATATATAGATATATATATATATATATATATATATATATATATATATATATATATATATATATATATATATGTGTGTGTGTGTGTGTGTGTGTGTATTTTCACCCTGAATCAATTCATTTCCTCATTTCTCAACCGTGAACCACTCCAAAATCCTCTCAATCTTCATCCGTGAACAGCCCCATTTCCTCTCAATCTGCAAAGGTTTACGCCCAAAATCTTCAAATCTTCAACCAATTCACCAAGAACATTCATAACATCTTCAAATATTCATAAACTCCTCAAGAACACCAAGATCCAACCGTGAACCCCATAACCTCCAACCGTAACCCCTTTTCTTTTTCAACCGTGAACCCCTTTCAACATTTCAATTAATTCCAAATAAATATTGTATGTATCCCTTAACTAATTAAATCACTATTTAATTATTATTTAAATTAATATCTTATTAATTTAAATACGACGTCGGGGATAATTATTTTTAGGATAAGACTACTATGATGTATTATAAAACCGAGGCTTTACCGTTAGCACTTCGCAACTCAACCGAGCGTACATATTCAAGGTGAGTTCATACCCCCATACTTCTCCAACCTTTTTCAATGTTTTAGGGGGGGGGGGGAATACAAGTTAAACACAAGTAATCTTGTGTTTAAAAATATAATTTTCTTATTATATATTCTTACCGTTAATATGCATTTGAACGCGAAACGTATTAAATACAGAAAACATTGTGACTACTAGACTTACAAACAACTTACGAAACATGTTAAGACACAATTATTTTAGAAGCACAGATTATAACACGGAAAACAAACTTATAAACTATTTTAATTATAGTTTATGGAACGAACAAACGAATTACTTTTACAAAGTTACACGTTATTTACAAAAAGGTTTTCATTGTCTTATTCGTGAATCCGTTGAGGGAACAAATTTGTGAGACACGTCTTCGAGTACTTACCTAAGTACCAAGGGAATTCTAACCTTATGAACCAGAGTCTCCTGGAGGGAGAGCGTGAGTTTGTGTATAGATCAATACGGGACTGACAATCCCGCACCCTGACTATTAGCTACAGTCGTTCTGGGTGACAAACGTCATTAACATTAACAACGTCCGAAGAACGTCGTAGGGTTTAACGTCCATCAGTATGGTTATAATAACCCACTTGGATATAACATGGCCTCGTTCACGTAATAATATTATACTTAACAAACAGTCATCAGGGTTCGTAACTATGTGATTACTTAGTATATACATCAGGGTGATATGAAATTAACATCCGACATGCAGTGAGATGTGTGACTTCTGCCTCATTTCCTGTTCCTTGTTTGGTTGTGGGATTAGGGTAGAATCACCCAATCGACTGTCTGTTCGATCTAGATTTCTATAACTCGTATGTACTAAGTGATCACAAGAGGGTATTAACATCACTTCCACTTTACAGAACAAACACATTTTCGACTAGTTTTATTTAATAATAAAGGTACACTTTAACAACTTACGTATGGGAAAATACTTGTACTTTTCAGTTTTGAAACATTTAAGACAACAATTCACTTTTATGGAAAATATAGGATTTTCCAGGACAAACATCAGTATTTTACAAGCATACGGTTTACCATTCAACTAACGAATAATCATTGTTAATTCTATAATTCCCTAGTTTATACATCCAGGTTATATATGAAGAATATCCGATAGGCAGTGGAATGTGTGGTTTCCGCCTCATTTCCATTTCCTTGTTTGGTTGTGGGATTAGGGCAGATCCACACATTCAACTGTCCGTTCGATATTAGTTTATATATAACTAGTATAAATTAAGTGGTTATAGAAGGAATTGGTATCATCATAATTCTTACTAAGAAAATATAGGATTTTCTGAAGGAACACATTCATCACATATTAAAGGGCCATTACAGTTAACTCTGTAAGTACTTAGTGAATACGCTAGAGTGATATACAATGAGGATCCGACATGCAGTGGAATGTGTGGTTTCCACCTCATTTCCGGTTACTTGTTTGGTTGTGGGCTTGGGGCAGAATCACACAATCAATTGTCTGTTCGATCTGAATTGTATATAACTTGTATATACTAAGTATTCGTGGAAGGAACTAGTACGAGTCATTTTACTTATCATTCATCACATCAGAAAATGTAGGATTTTCTGGAGAAATACATCATGTTTTACAAAGAACAAAGAACCTGTTTTTCTAAAACCAACGCTTATGAACTCACCAACTTTAATGTTGACACTCTTTAAAAACTACTTGTATTCTCAGGACACTAGTAGACAGGTACAAGCCCCATGTTTCTAGAAGACGGAGCATAGTAGCTTCAAGTCTTTACTTTACTATTTACTTTTGGAATAAATCATATATGATTTGAATACAATGTAACATTTTAATATCAATACAATGGTTGTTGTTGCTTTGATTACTATTATTCAACTGTTTTGATACTGTACATGATGTCCTCCGCCCCCGAATGTTTCCGCCGTTCCGGTTTGGGGGTGTGACATTTCTGGTACACATCTAATCATAATTTATTGATTTTTGAAGAGCTACTCGACGATTTGGGAGCCCCATACTCGTCGAGCAAAAATGAGATTGGACACAGGATCTTAAGCCACCTACTCGACGAGTTGAGAGCCTCGACTCGACGAGTAGGTCTGCTATAATGAAACCCTAATTTCGGGGTTTTGCACCCTATTTAAGCATCTTAATCCCCACTTTCTGGCCTCATTTCCAGCCTCCAAGTCCCAAACCCTAATCCACGAAACCCTAGAGCTTTGAGTGAGTTGTGAGCCATTTTTTAGTGAACTTTGTGTGATTTTAAGCTTGTAAAAGAAGAAGAAGCTAGAGGGTTCCAGGAGAAGATTGTAGATCCAGAAAAAAAAAAAACATCTCATTCTCTTCATTTTCTGGTATGAAAGTTCCAAACTTGCTTAGTAGCTTGATAGATCTCCTTATCTTCACTTTGTGGGGTTTTTGGTCCAAGAAGTTTAGTCCTTAGGTTATGGACGTCCTATGCAAGGGTCCCTTAAGATCTGGAATCATTGAGGGTTGTTATGGCATAAAGGTGCAAACTTTATGCCATTGGAACCCCCATGCAAGTTTTAGGGTGTTACTTTGGCCTTTTAAAGCTCCTAACTTCCCTTCCATGCATGGCCTGATCCTGTACAAGGTGGAACTCGATGAGTCTGTGAAGGGACTCGACGAGTTAGTTCGTGTTTTCACGACTACGTATAGCAAGGGAACTCGGCGACTCAAGGGATTGACTCGACGAGTTGAGTCAACTCAAATTGTTGACTTTGACTTTGACTGAGCGTTGACTTTGACTGGGACATTGGCTTGACCAAGGTTGACTCGTGAAGGGGTCTTGACATAAGAAATGGTATCTAAGGGGTTGTTTTGTATAGGGAGTGAGTAGATCCGGTCGCAGGAGCCGAGACGTTCAGCTACTTCACTTGACATTTGAGGTGGGTCTTCCTCCAGTAGGAACGGGTCTAAGGCACCAAGGTCGGCCCGATTATGTATGTTAGTATGTTCCAGATTAGGATCTGATGTCGGGCAGGGCCTGATGTAGGTTTATATGTTTTTCCGGATTTTGATCTGATGACGAGACGGTACCCAAAGGATGTTAGTATGCTTGATGTCTTTGTGATTCTTACATGTGTATCTATTTGTGTGTTTCTGGACCAAGGTCTGATGCCGGGGCGGCTCCCGAGGAACGTTTGTATTGTTTCCGGATTTCGGTCCGATGCTGGCGGGGCCCGAGGAAAATGTTTATAGTTAAGTGATTATGATTATGTTATATGTGTTAATAGTTTATGCTCATATGTATGCCGAGCTGTGCTCGATGCCGGACAGGGCCCGATGCCGAATGCGGTCTGATGTCGGGCGGGGTACGATGTCGGACAAGCCGATGTCGGGTAGTACCCGATGTAGTAGGGCGAGGCCCAATGTATGATATATGTGTTATGTGTATGGTATGTGGTATTTTGGGGAGACTCACTAAGCTTCGTGCTTATAGTTTTCTTTTTTGGTTTCAGGTACTTCCGCTAGTAAGGGGAAGAGCTCCAGATGACTGCATGACACACACCACAGTTTTTAGCCTGGGAGGATTCACCCTGATGTTTTGACAAATGATTTTGATACATTGATAGATATTATGATATTTTTGAGATACAAGATCTATGACTTTTATATGATGGATGATATTTATGGTTTTATTAATGATTTAAAATGAAATTTTTGGGCTATATTTTTGGGATGTTTCTATATATATATATATATATATATATATATATATATATATATATATATATATATATATATATATATATATATATATATATATATAGAATAATCATAAATTCTTTACATATAAATATGTTAATTCTATATTGATTATATCATTTATGATTATTCAAATATGTATATTTATTGTTCATTATTCATATGTGATTATCGAGAAATCCTATATGAATAACATTAGTACAAAAATGACATACGCTCACATTTTTTTTGAAACAGCTCTGCCATACTTTGGATTATTTCAGTGGTTAAAGGTTACTAATAAAGTTCTAGCCTAGTTTTAGATACACATTTTATTCATTCATGTGACCATTGCATAATGTTTTGAAAGCTTTGGCTGCACTTTAAGAAAAAGATGTGTTATTTTCTTGCCACTGTAAAAAAAATGTGGCCAAATCTGACCAACTACAATGATATTTGTTTTTTTTTTGTTTTTTTAAAATGTGTCATTTACTTGCCACGGTAAAAACAATGTGTCACATCTAACTCATCTGACCTATCCTCTACAATCTCAGTTGTATTGTTCTTTTTATTTTCTTCACAAATAAATTCAACTGGTGTGTCACCATTCATATAGAAATCATCCATGTCCATCTCTTCATCATCTATAATGTTCTCTTCATCTACTTAATAAACACTATCATCATTATCTTCACTTCCATCACTACCATGACTACTATAATTATTATCTCTTTCTTCTTGGCCATTGTCTTCTCGTTGTTCCATATAACATCTTTGTGGTCATCGTTCTCTCTTTCTTCTTGGTCCATGAAACCGTGGTAGTCCATGAAATTATCTGGAACCATATCCTCATTCTACAAAACATGTTATATTATCATAAAATCATCTTTGCTCCATGAATTCCAACAAGTTTTTTAGATCTAACGCAACTTGTTTATCAAGAAAATCTCTATGATCCATTGCATCTTCCTGGTTCATGGTACCTTGGTGGTCCATGGTATCTGTGCGATCCATTGCAACTAGGTGTCAATGTCATCTTCATGGTGTTCTTGGTATAATGTATCTTAATTGTTCCTCAATAAAATTTGTGTTATCCATTACGACTTGGTGGTCCATGGTATATTCATAATCCATGGTAGCTTGATGTTGTTGACCTTTACACATGTCACTAACCTCATCATCTCTTATCAACATGCCAACATCATTGACCTCAACAACACCATCAAAGTTAGGACCAATTACATGGTGTTCTTTACCCCTGCCCATATCACTGATGACCTCATCATTTCTTATCCTTATGCGAATCACATGGTCCATGTTCAACTTCGTACTACAATATGAAACAAATTTGTCTTGTTATCAAACCCATTTCCTCTTATATTTTGGAGACAATATTATACTCTTGGCATTCACATTAGCTAAATCAACCTCTCATTTTTCAACAACCACTACAAGGATCGAGCCCTATGCAGACGGCAATTAAGAATTATATACTGATGACGTGTCGTCGGTAAAGCTTATACCGACGACATGTCGTCTGTAAAAAGTCATTGGCATAGCTCCGTCGGTAAAATTCGAAAATGTCGTCGGGACAAGAGTCGTCGGTATAGAATAACCAATCGAGACGACATGTCGTCGGCAAAGGATCATCGTGATTGATTTTAGAGGATATAAGAAAAAGTTTTATTTAGACCCTATACCGACGACTTGTCGTCTAGACAAGGGTGACCTTATACCGACAACTTGTCGTCGTGAAAAGTATGAGCAATACCGACGCCCTGTCGTCGGAAAAAATAGGTGCACCTAACTTCCATTCTAATATTACCGACGACATTTCGTCTGGAATGGGAAAACCGTTTTTACAGTTATAAAGTTGTACCGACGACATATCGTCGGTATAGCCTTATTTTTTTTTTAATATTTTTTACAGGTTTTGTTATATATACCAAATATGTTTTTTTAAAACAAATCCAAAAAGGATATTTGCAGAATAATATAATTATAACATAACATACCATTAAAATCCAAAAACACTTAATAAACATAACATACCATTCGAATTCTACAACATAACAAAATACAAAAAAAAACAAGTTTTTAACAAACATTGTTGTCATTATCATTCTAGTTCTCCTCTGCATCGTCCTCATCACCACCATCATCAACATCATCATCATCATCCTCCTCGAGTTCATTGGATGTTTTGGGGTTATTTTGTGAAAACATATTGGGATTAAACTGGAATTGTGGCATTGGTTGTGGTTGGAAGTTTGGAATGACGGACACGAAAGTGTTATTAAACATTTGGTTCATTTGTAGCATTTTTTGTTGCATGCTCTGAATTTTTTGGGATAATACAACAACTTGGGGATTATTTGAAGATTGGGATGTGGAAGCTTTGGGACGTTTGGTATGTTCGTTTGGAAATAAATTATTGTTGATGCTTGGTTTCCTTCCAATTCCGCGAATATGTCCACGTCTCTCACCGAGGGCACGAGCGAGACATTGTTCTTCATTTAATTTTTCGTTCTCCCCGAGCTCTGATTGCATCAACATCTTCTCTCGTTGAATGTTTTCCTAAAATAAAGAAAACAATAAAAACACATTAACTAAAAAATATAACTAAATTTATACACTAAAATAATAATAATATACCTTAAACTAACTATAATAATAATAATAACATATTTATCAAACAACTTATTAACTTTGTTTATTACATACCCAAACTACTTCTGCTTGCGGTGTACACCAACCCCGACTTTTCTTTAAATCGCATCTGTCTCCAACCGTCGATATGTTGCGGGTCTTCTCCTTTTTCTCTCTATAATAAGCCAAAAACAATTAATATCTTTATATAAGTGTTAATAAAATTTTTATAAAATACAAATAAATTTAATTACCTCCTCACATCGTCTGTCTGCATATATTCTACTACCATGAGAACTCCCAAATTGAAGTTTGGACCTGCTTTCTTTACCTTCTTTGCACTGCTTCCTATAACCCTAATCCAAAAAAAGAAGATCAATCATCTTATCCCAAGCTTCGTCGTCCATATCATCCAGTGGACATTGTCTTGCACCTTCCACATCCTTATATCCAACAACCCTATCAAAATAATTTTTCACTTCATGTTTGTGCTCTTTATAAGCTCTTTGGCAGTCGCTCTGTACAGTCGCTCGAACGGCTTCCCACAGATCTGTACACCGATACATATCAAGATTAAAAAATGTCAGCAATAAAAAAATAAATTTAATTAGTAAAAAAATATTTAAAAAGTACAAAATTTTTTCACGTATAAAAAGTATTTTGTAATTACTTCAATCTCAGGATACATAGCTTCATAGTAATGGAAAGGAACACGTCTCCAAGTCCTATAATGGAGTGGTACATGATCTGCCACAAAGTTTGAGATAAACCTTGTCAAGATTTTGCCATTTGTATTTATGAATCTATAGGTCCCCCGATGCTATCAATTTCCACATATGGTCAATGTTTGAAAACGATGTCTCGACGACATGTCGTCGGTATAGATCGACTTTTGCCGACGACATATGTCGTCTGGATAGGTGTCGTCTGCATAGGGCTCGATCCTTGTAGTGAACTAAAACAAGGGAGGTCTCTCTTTTAGGCAACTGAACTTTATTAACAAGGATGGTTAATTTATGTCCTCTCTCTCACTAATCTCTTCAATAATAACCTTTATCTTGTTGTCCTTCACAAACTGAGCAATTTTGTATACATCCTCGTCGTTACACAAAACATGAAGTCCAAAATGGCAGTCACTATTAGGTATGAGGAAGTGCTAGTAGATTGTATAGCATAGCCCAAACCTTTCATCATTATATCAAGTTGGTGAACCAAAAACTCATCAAATATCCACCATATCAATGTACGAAATAGTGCCATCATTGTACTTCATGTTTAAAAATCTAGTCAACTCACCACCGTGATAAAGTTTAATGGTAAACAAAGAAGACATTCCATCTTCAAAACATGGAGAAAGAAGGTCACATTTTTTACTAATTTTTTCATAATTGGAAAAAGATGATCAAGTTATAGCAGAAGGCTTTGGGGTCCACTCTATGTTTTTATGGCGAAATTACTACATTTTAAAGCTCGTGAACAAGGAACATGACAAACTGAAGAAGCTTGATTAGGGTTTTAATGAGGAAAAGCTCTTTCAATGATGGTAAGGAGGGGGCAACTGATAATTAAGATTATGCAATCGGGAAAGAAGTTGGATTTAACATGTGTTTTGCATGACTGTTAAGTGGAGGGACCAATTTTGCATAAAATTTACAATTTTCGACAGAGCATGCGACAAAATAGATTGGATTCGAATTGTACTTTTTTATAAACCATATGGACCAATTTTCGAATTTAACGAAGAGTGTACATATAAATGCAAACAGCTTTCAACAGTTGCATCCCATGAATATCCCACAATCATTTACAATTAACTTTTACAAGTTGAAGTCCTACCGAAAATTCACTAATAAGCTGTATAATATTGCACAACAATTGATTAAAAAAAAAAACCCCCTAAGGTATCTGTTAATTCACGATGATCCAAACGACGCATTCGTATTCTGCACCCGCAAGTCATGGTAGAACCGGCTAATGAACTGCTCAGCCGCATCATTCACCTGGTTGTCCTCGTCCACACTACTTAACGGAAACGGAGAGTCGGTTACCCTCAGCTGCCTAACCATCGGTGTACTCCCAAACCCTGGAAGCGCCGGTGATGAATTGTCGCTGTGAATCATCTCCATGGCTTTAAGCACAGCGTTAACAGCCATCATATCAAGATGATCCTTCGATGGTTTGCTGTTGGAGTGATGTTTCTTGTGGAATGAAAATAGAGAGAAAGGGTGGTTACTAGTGGGCGCAGGGCTGTTGCTGCAGCTGAACTCATATTCACCAGGCGGAGGTGAAAGGAAAGAGAGGTGGTGGGAGCGGTGGTTGGTGGTGAAAGATGCCCGGTTGTTATGGTGGTGGAACATAAGGTTCTGTAAGGCTTTTCCGGCGATCTTGCCACGCTTTATCATCATGTTGAGATCCAGCAACAACTTTCTCTTGGATATGCCTTTTCGCAGCATGAAGTAAACCACACAAACCAGATTCCAAACTTTCTTGGGCAAAACCGGTAGATTTTGTTCCATTTTTGTAAGTAGGAAAATTATCGGCTGTTGTTGTTTAAGATATGACGAAGATGCAGAAAATTGTTGATGAAATGAAGGAAGGTAGTGAGGCTATTTAAAGGGAAGGAAACGTGAGTTGTCCTTTGATGTTAAGTTAACCTGACTTGCTGGTGCTTTCGTTATTTTAATAAATTATTTAGTTTTCTACTTTACTTTACTGTAGACACCGCTTTTGTTTCATGTCCACTGTTCAATCAGAGATTATTTGCGGCATATTTTGGATTGGATAAGATCATGGTCATGTGATTGCTTATTGTTTAACTTGATAAATAGAAAATAAATGGTTTCTTCAACAATGTATATGAATAACCACCGTCTTCAAAAATAATTATCTCAATTTGAATCTCACTACTAGAAAACATGGCGTTTTCCTACGGAAAATAGCTACGGAAAATTTCCATACCTAATTAGTTACGGAATCGCTACGGAATAACTACAGAATGAGATGCCCTAGTTTAGTAACGGAATAGCTACGGATGCGGGTCCGTAGTTATTCCGTAGCTAATTAGCTACGGAATAGCTACGGATTTCCGTAGCTAATTAGCTACGGAATGACTACGGAATACCTACGGATACTAATTATCTACGGATTAGCTACGGAGTATGCTTTCCGTTAGAATTCTGTAGCTAATCCGTAGCTAAGTAGCTACAGATTAGCTACGAATTTTTCTTATTTTCAATTTTTCGGGCACCAAACGTCGGTTTTTTCGCTTCGTTTTTTTCACACCTCTACTATATATGATTATCTTTATTTTCACCAACTTGTAGCTATTAATATCGTTCATAAAGTCGTGTGCCCCTTCGGGATCAAGTACTCGTTTCACAGTTTAACATTGTAATACATATACTTTTCACCAAATTGTGATGAATTATGTTGGTATATGTATATTTATATACATGAATGAGTTGTGGTATATATGTATGTGTATATGTGTATGTATACGTGTTTGTGAGATGTATGTGTACGTATTCATAAGCATTATGTGTATGCACACGACTTTATAAATGATATTAATAGCTATGAATTGGTGGAAATATAGATAATCATATATAATAGAGGTGTGAAAAAAACGGAGCGAAAAAAACGACGTTTAGTGCCCGAAAAATCGAAAATAAGAAAAATGTATAGCTAATCCGTAGCTAATTAGCTACGGATTATCTACGGAATTCTAACGAAAAGCATATTCTGTAGCTAATCCGTAGGTAATTAGCTACGTATTAACTCAAACGTTGAATCTTGAATCTTGAAACTCTCTTCGTAAGTATTAGAGTAGCTTACCTACTCATTTACTAATGGTCTCCCTAATTTGGCCAAACTGGGTTTGAGGTGGACGAGTCTCTTTAATTTGGTGTCTATCAGCTCCCTTGGCAATCTAATTTTAGGCCCGTTCAACCCATTGTTCTCCCCGCTTGAGGTAGCCAAGACGAAAACCATATCTCATTTACTTGCAATCTTGCATAGGTTGTATTTTTTTTTTTTTTTTTTCATTTTCTTAGGTTAATTAGCTGTAGAGTCGAAGGTGTTGATAACTCGTCTTGGGATTTATGTATGTAATTTGTTAATTTTACTCGGGCTTCTCGGTAGTTTTAATTTTAGTCTTGCCGTTAAAAAAAAAGTCATTTACTAATTTATATGGATTAAACGACATCTGGAGGAAAGTATATATATCTCGCATTTTAGGTTTGTACATTAATAATACAATCGTTATACAACAAACCATTTATTAAAACATTGAGTTTCGATAAATGTTTTAACTGTTTAATTGTAATGAACATGACTTTTACACATGTAAGAAGCATATATAACATAGAGATAGAAAAAGCCATTTCCAAAATAAATAAAAATAAAAACAAAGCTGTCACTGTTACCAAAAGCAGTACCGCATTTGGTGGGTTAACCTTGTTGGCGTGGAGGGGGAAAAGGCGATTACTTAGCGATAGAGGTTTGGTTTGCACTACCCCTCAGCCACGTTGCACCTGCCACCTCATTATTAAACGCCGTTATCCCAAGAAACCTCCGACCATATATAATTATATACCACCAATTACAGTCGAGTGTGTTAATTTTCTATACTGGATTATTGATTATTTTGATTTATTTTGTTTGTCAATAGATGGATATATAACAAGTATCTCGTCATATATAGTTGATGCTTTAACGGTTGTAAACGAACATTATTCATTCGTACATTATGATATGTTTGTTGTTTCAAGGGTGACTCGGTGTAACTTCTTCCATAAAATTTCCTTAGAGAAACTTATTCTTTCCACTTTCTAACTTTAAAGTTTGTGTTCCAAAGCTACCCACGCAGTAAGGCAAGGAATTCCTCTTGTTTCACTTTATCTTTTTGTATTTTTTTTCTGGCCCATCGAAATGTTTACTTTCTTTAAACACTTATATTTCACCACATTTCCTTTCTTCTCTCTTTTTCTGAAACATGGTAAATTTGGAATAGCCCAGGACCAAAATGCATAAAGCAAAACAATCGAAATCTCCATGCAATGAAGGAGAGTGCGGACACTAGCCTTGGCAAACCACAGCACGTTATTTTGGTACATGCATGATTAATATATACCTAATTAAGGACAAAGTCGTGTGTAGGTTGCGACCAATATTGGCTTGGTTGCTTTTTGCAAGATTTGGCGTTTCTTCCAGACTTATTGTACTGGTTTTTACTTTTTTTTTTCAAAAGCCGTCGTCCTTATTTGCTTTCCGTGCACAAAGTGATGTGCCGTATGTTGATTGTTGATTGAGGTTACATGAACATCTACATGCTTTTGGAGATGTTTGTATGCATCTAGTCTAATAAATTATTGAATATAGATCCAAGATATATGTTGAGTTCAAGACTATATATATATATATATATATATATATATATATATATATATATATATAGAGAGAGAGAGAGAGAGAGAGAGAGAGAGAGAGAGAGAGAGACTATTTTTCCATAAGAAATCTTTGAGAGAGAGAATACTCCAATATATATAGTCATTAGGTTACAACCCGTGGAAACCACGGGAAAGAAAGAAAAATAATATTTATAATTAAAAATGATAATGAAAACCAAAATCTATAAAATTTTATTGAACTAATAAGATACAAGTTTTGATATGACTTTTATATTGATTATTTAAAATCTCTCGTATATATAATATATATTAATTTGAATCTCCAATATAGGTTCTGTATGTGTAAACATTTAATAAAATTATGATTTATATAAGGAATATAAATTTGAATAGAGTGTAAAAAAACACAATCATTGATATTCGAAAAATTAAATATAACATAAATGTAATAAAAATAAATAAATACAACATAATAAATTACAAATTAATGGTTCAGAAAATGAAGCATTTTTCTAAAATATAACCCAATGACCCTAAGCAATTAGCACATAATTTTATAAAGTTGAACTAATATTCTTCTATTTTCACCAAGTGCAAGAATAAAAAATCAAAAAGATATGCAATTTCAATGTGAACATGGGATGAATATTATGGAGCAGTAAAACCAATTTCTTGGTTCAGACAACCCTATTTTGATCATGATTTCTTATTCTTTTTAAATAGCATAATACCTGAAGACAGAAACAAACTTTTAAGTATAGAAACTAAGAAAGATTGTTCCGTTTATCGATCAAATGAATGTGCATAACCAATTTACCCTTCCAACAGAAAATGTGATTTTCTCCCCAGCATTATCATATTTCATAGCACATAAAAATTTATATTATAAGAAATGAAAGCAAATGACCATTTTATCCATCCAACGAAAGAATGTGATTTTCTTGAAATGGTAATCAAAGCGCCAAATATTCATATTAAATTGAATGACATAAAATGACCATTTTTACCTTTTTAATAAAAAATGTGTTTTTCTTGCAAAATCAGTAAAAAAAATGCAATTTGATGATTAATTTTTTTCATTTACATGAGGTTTCTATAGGAAATATGAAGAATAAATATGGATTGTTACCCTTACAAGTAAAAAGATCTAGAACCAGATGTTATAATCAAATAATTTCCCATACAAAAAGTAATGAAACACTGGGCAGGGAAAGTATAATTGTTGCATATGATATTTGTCACAACTAGCAAATTTGCTAGGAAATTCTATACTTTTATAAACAATATCAATGACAACAAATTGTAACCATAACTTGATATGCATATGATGTTATTCAATAGCAACAAACTTTCATCAAAAATCCAATTATAAAGCCCAAACTTCATGCAAAACATTTCAGAAAGTCAATTGGGAGTTGAAAACCTTAAAAATCCCGGTTCAAGTTTATAATGGACTAGGATTATCTTATTGGGCCTAATGGACCAATAAGCATTCAATTTGACTATTTTGGGCTTAGAACCCTTAAATGGGCTCTAATTGGACCCACTTTCATGAAAATTAACATTATGGGGCATAATGGTCCTAAAATGGATTAGTTTACCTTCAATGGGCCTTGTTGGGCCATAACAAATCCAGTTAGCCCTAATAGGCCATAAATCCATTCTTCTATACAAAATTGAGCCGTGAACTACCCTAAAGGCCCATTGGGCCGAAAGCTTCTGTATGGACCTCATAGTTTCGAACCAAGGCTAGAAGTGGGCCAAATTAATCTAATTCTCCTCTCTTTAGCCCATTCTCGGCCAATGAAAAAAAAAGAGAAAATAAAGTAGAGAGAAATTAGGAGAATTAATGAGGGCTAGCCACCTCATTTTTATTTGATGGACAACCAAGCACTTTACACTCCAAACATCCAAGCCATCTCATGTTTCCATGCAAACTCATCTCTTCTCTCTCTTTTTCTTTAACTCTCAGCCAAAGGTAAACACCCACACACATCTTCAAAATTTTTCTCTTACAACTCTCTCAAATCTTGCAAGAACATCTTCTTATTTACTTCAAGAATCTCGAAAATTAGTAGTGCTTCAAGAAGATCTTTCACTTGTATCAC